AAAAAAAAAAAAGCAGTTGTCCCTTCTTTGAGATTTCTGTATTAATGGAAAAATAAAGTGTTGTTAGCCGTATGTTCAAACTCAAAAGGAGATTCGAAGATTATTAGATTCATTTCTGTGCAACTGTTATATGGACAGTTGGAAATATACTGGATATGTTGATGTTGATGATGTTATATGGACAGTTTATTCAACGAAAATGAAATATTTTGTTGCCATGAGAAAGGGAAAAAATATTATAAGGTGCATAGACATTCACATGGAAGGTTCATATTAAAATCTTCGGCACATCAAAGGAAATCATTATAAAATCATTATACATATACAGCAGTTTGAAGTACCACATGAAACACAATGGCTATGTTAATGCAATCAGCCAGCCATATCAGCCGGTTATGAACTGCAAAAACATATTTTGGCACTTCAATTTTCTTGAAATGTCAATAGTACATACCAACTTGTTCACCAAATTTCACAATATTTCATATCAGTGGACAAAAAACTGAAAAGCTTTCTGATATTTGGGTACGTCCTCACCATCAACTCAATTAGAACAAAAACCGCACTAACAGAAAGAAACTGAAAAATAATTCAAACACGGAAACACCACAGCAGATTCAGAAATGAAAAGCCTTTCATTCAATACTACATAAACTTCCGAGGTCTAAGAAGTTAAACAGAAACATCGCTAATCCCAAACTGTAAAACTACTAATTCATGTCTGTAGACAAACTAGGCAAGGTTGAAGTCATATCCATGTCAACATATACCGACAAAGTTAAAAGTCAGGAAATCAACATTATAGTGCAGGAACACATTAAAATCCTGTTAAGGGTATCTCGTCATCCTTAGTGCAGCTCCTAGTCATCATCTTCTTCCTCCTGCATATCAAATTGAACAATAAAAAAATAATTCTCAACACGATTTGCAGACTCATTCGTATAACCAAATAAAAAGTCCATGTACATGACTGACCTCTCCACTGCCTTCATCATCGTTCTCATCATGAACCTCTGACTTTGATTTGTCAGATTCTTCATCACCACTGCCTCCAGCCTATATGAACACATTACAATAGGGTAAGGCCAAATCAGCAAGTTACAGACACATCCTCCCTATATATAATTTCAGAATGCGCTGAGCCTACGTGGCTGCTTCTGGTGTTTCGGAATCCTGTTTGGCGAAGAATCATGCTTCGTAATTAGGTTTGGACAAATAATATTAATATATTAATAATTAATAATCTAGGTTCGGGTATTCTATAAATATTATTTAGCTAACTTAGGTATTTTAATATCATTTTTACTAATATAACCCTTTAATTATTTGTAATTTTACATAGTGAGATACTAAGTGACTAATATATCCCTAAATTTTGATTTGCTTCCTTCAATAAGCTATTGAATTATAAATGTATTTTAAAAGTAGATAACTTTTGTATTTCTTATCGGTTTTACATATATAATATATCAAATTAATCATCTTTTGATGATCTTCAATTTGACATCCATATTGTATATATAAAATAAATAAATTATATTTATCTTTATAATAATAAAAAATAATAATATTTATTAAAATTCATTAGAAAAATAAAATTATTTCTTAATTGATATATTTATATTTAATGTAGTTATATAGTGTAAGTTAAAAAATTAGTATAATATAACACAAGTAAGTCGCACAAATAAAAAGTATCATAATAAATATATAATATATATATATATATTCTTATAAAAGGTAATTAAATTTTCAAACTACTTTTTCTCATTAATTTTAAATTTTAAGAAAAAAATTAGCAAGCACCCGTGTAATACACGGGTGTTGTACTAGTCAAAAATTATTTAAAGAACAAAAACTAAAGCTAAGGACGAATTGAACACTTAACGATAAAGCTTAATTACCAATTTTTTGTTGTAGGCTTCCATCTTCCGTTCATATTCCTCCTTCTTCTTCATTGCCTTTGCCACAAATGGAGCCTTATCCTAATAATTTCAAGATGTATAGGTTTAAAACAGGGAAAGGGGAAAACTATTAATACGTGTCGCCAGATAACTGGGTATATTTACCTCGTCACTCATAGACTTCCACTTCTCACCAGCAGCTTTACCGACCTGCATTTTGCCCCATCAATGGTGTCAAATAGTACGGATTTAAACAATATTGGTTCAAGAATAAGGATGTCATAAGAAGAGCACCCACAGCAGAAACTGATTTGTTGGTGGGGTGTTTTTCCTTGTATTGCTGCCTGAAACCTTCCCTGTAGCATGAATATGACCGGGAAGCATATCAGAACACAAATGGATTACAGCACTTGGTCTTGACAAGGTAATAAAAGAATGGTACCAACAAAAGGTTAGGAAAGGTTAGGAAGCCAGTATACAGTCATGCAATTTACATACAAGAAAACAAAGAATGCGCTTGGAGCCCTCTTTGGCTTGTTTGGATCCTTTGCTGCTTTCTTCTCTCTTTGTCTGCTTCTTCACAGCCAACCTAATATTAATTACAATTATACACCAAAACTAGTGGAATAAGTAGTTGAATGAAAACACAGACAAAAAGAACAAAATTAACCAACAAAAAAAATGGTTAACCAGTTCTTAAAACAACTATCAGGCAGTAAGTTCATTTTTATCACAGCAGCAGTACTTAGTTGTCAGTGCAATTATGCACCTTTGAGAAAAAAACATAGAGATCTAGAAAGAGCCAGAACAACGAGTATGAAGAAAAAACATTAATGTTTGTTATGTTGACTTCTTTTGGCATACGTATTACGTCAAAAGATTAATCAAACATTAGACGTGGAGTTAAAACAAACAATTCTAAAACCAAATGCCACAAGAGATCACAAGTCACAAATCAACATCTAGCTCAATAGAAACTCGTAATTCGTACTACTGCAGTAAATGTTGATTTATTGTCTGAGCCACCAGGAAAATGATATCTAGAGCTAATTCTACATTACATGAAAAAATGGTAGAATAGAAACAATATAAGGAAAGCGAACGGAACTAGAAAACAGCAATCCAGCATCCAAATATGTAGATAGGTTATCTAGCGCATTAATTATCCAAATAAACCTAAAACCACAACAAACAAATTCACCAATCTAAAGCTAACTAAACAACAATTCAGCAACACATAATACATCTCAGAAAACACAACCAGCTCACATTTACCGCAGATTCACCACCATCCGGAGAGAGAGAGAGAGATTACAACGGGACATACATAGAAAGAGAGGTAGAGAAATGAATTACGAAATTACACCAAATAAAGGCTCAATGGAAACATCTCTTACCTGCTGTCGGCCTTCCGCGAATCAGCTTTCGAGCTAGCTCCTTTCATGGCGAAGCACTTCGAAAAAAAAAAAAATGATTCTGAGAAACGTCGATAATCCACAAATGGAAAAATCCGGCGAATCGATAATGAACAAGCTAAAACCTCACCTCAAACGGCAACGAGCAGCCCTGGTTTAGGGTTAGGTTTCGCAGTCGAATATTCGAATTTGATTGAAGCATGAAAAAATCTGTATATTAATTATACGAAGCGGTTTCGGGTGACTTATGGGCGGGATCTGAACAAAATCTTTTTGCCAAGTCGTATTTTGGGTTTTATATTTTTACTTCAAATAATTATGATTATTCTTTTAAAGGAGACATACAATAGATTTTTTCCAGTAAAACTAAGGAAAGAGGTTGAAGATATATACATTGTTCTCCCCAAATCCCGACCCTTCTCCCCAAATCTTCCGAGCTCTTCAATTTTCTCTCTGATTGCCTTCCTTGGTGTCAGCGAGTTCGGACAAGTGGTCATCTTGACTGCTCGGCCCACCCTATGACACTTATCTCCTCCGCTGTGTTGTTCCCCCACGTATGTTGGATTTTGAGGGTCGGGCCAGGGTTTTGGTCGGGTCTGATGGCGATGATCCCCAATCTGTCGACGAATCTTCGACTTGTTGGCGACTGGCGACTTCTCTTTCGGTAAGTCTTCGATTGACGATGGATTTCCCTCGATTTATTTTAGGGTTTATTTGTCGGCGGTCGACTGTGCTTATGGTGGGGATGTTGGGGTGCTTCTCGGTTCTCCGGTGGTCTTCAGTGGTGCTCGTCGGATCGATTCTGACTTCTGTTGGATCTATCGGAGAGGACTCTATTTGGACTGCCGGTCGTTTTGGTTATGTGGGGGTTGGCCGTCTGCTGGACAATTGATGTGTATGTCGACGGTTTTCGGGGTGTGGGGTGGATTGAGGGTCTTTGGGTGGGCCGAGGCTCCAACGGTTTTAACCTCATGGGTCGTGGCTGTTACAGAGGGGGACTGAGTCACTCTCTCCCTCCCGGTTCTCTTGTTTTGGGAACTGCGGGGGTGGTTTTGGCACTATCAAGCCCGGCTAGTGGTGTTAGGCGAGCTTATGTAGGGCTGACAGGGGGAACTGGCTGCTTGTCCTCCCGGTTGAGGTGGATTGATTCGGATTAGGTTCGAGGTCCGGGTTTGGCTTTTGTATAGGCGTTCGGCAGCATTTTCGAAGGTCGGGCTCGGGCTTGGGATCTTTCATGGATTCTTTTGTTTCTCCATTGTTCTGTCTCGTTTGATTACTTAGGAAGGGCTTTGTTATTGTTTTGTTGCTTTGTTGTTTTCTCTTTTTCTGTCTTTTGGTGTGCTGGTTGGTAGGATCAAATTTTAGGTTTGGGCCGTTGGCCTCGGTACTGATTACCCCATGGGGACGTTTCTATTCTTCTGTTGGGGGCGTTCGTAGTTTGTGTTTTGGTGTCTTTGTGTTGTGTATCGTGTGTTTTCTTTTCTAGCGTTGCTAGCGTGATACCCGTCTGAGAGTTTTCTAGGCCGCTTTATAGTGTGACCTCTCTTTTTTTCATTCTCGGTTGTTGGCCCCGTTTGTATCTAGCTATGTTTTTCTTTTGAGTAGTAATATATTACCTCTTTTGTTTCAGAAAAAAAAAAAAAAAAAAAA